ATAGGTGAGACGAAGTCTGGCCATTCTTGCTTCCAAGGAGCATTTCGGTGCACTTCCTCCAGGACAGATCTGTTAGTTCTTTTAGCAGTCCATGGTACTTTCAGCATTCTTCGCCAGCACCACAACTCAAAAGCATCAACTCTTCTTCGGTCTTCCTTATTCATTGTCCAGCTCTCACATGCATACGAGGCGATTGGAAATATCATGGCTTGTGTCAGGTGCACCTTAGTCCTCAAGGAGACATCCTTGCTCCTCAGCACTTGAAACAGTTCCTTCATGGTTGACCTTCCCAATGCTACAAGTCATCTAATGTCCTGACTGCTGCTTCCATTGGCACCGATTATAAGCCTCAGTTTACTATCAATAAAGTAGGAATAACAATACAACCTGCTAGAGTTTTTGTAGGGCTTGAATGTATTGCTATGTTAAAAATGTTATTACCTGGGGCAACGTAGACTGATGGACAAAGGATCCCCCTAAGCACACCCTTTTGTGCCTAATGCAACAGTGATGAGGGCCAGAGATGCCAAGAGTTCAGCTGGAAACAAAGTGAACTCCGAGACTGCTCTCTGCCACACACAGAGTAAGTGTTATACAGAAGAAGCAGGGGACAGAAACACACTCTTTCTGAGGTTCACATTTTGAACCTTGTTTAAAGGCAATCTGATATTGTGGGGTACATTTGTTGTTGTTGTTGTTATTTGCCGTCGAGTCGGCCCCGACTCATACTGTCCTGTAATTGGGTGCAATTATTTTCTATTCTTGTTTGGGTAAAGCTGACCTTTGATTGGACTTTAGTTCAAGCAATATTTCAACACAGCGGTTGGGCATTGCATCCCCTGATTACAGCCCAGCTGGGGCCAGGCCACCGCCTGGATGGAAACCAGCAGGTTGGGTGCCGGGACGCAGCCTGGCTTTGACAGGTCTGGGAAAAGCTTCTCAAACCAGGCGGCAAGGTTTCAAAACATGAACCTCAGAGACCCTAAATCAGAAATTGCGACAAGTGCATACAGAACGTGACTTGCAGTCACTCGAAGATTACGAGGAATTTCCCGCTTGATTACATAATGTCGATGCGTGTGTCATCAGATCTCCCAACGAGATGACACACAGGGGCCAAAAAGAACAGAAGGCAAACTTTGGGGCTGAAACCTCAACTTCAACAATTGCCCAAATGGGATGAGGGCTTTAGACGGGAAAGAAGTGACTGTGAATTACAGGACATTCTCCTAGATGCGTCTTGGGAAACACCCCCTTCGTGCCTGTTGCCCATGAAGTCAGAAGGGGTTGAGGAAGTCTGGCATTTTCCTCAGAAGCCCTCCTGTCTCCTCTCTGCTCCCACTTCGTCCATGTCCAGTATCTGAGACACTGGGGCAGATTCTGGCTCCCAGGGCTTCTCTATGTAAGATATAATAACAAAGAGAACCACCAGGATGGATATGGTGAAGATGTTAATGCACTGTGGGTATAGGCCAGTGTCACTGGACAGCCTGTGAAGAAAGTGTTGAATGGGAATCTCAACTGCTGTGTAAACCTTCACCAATAACACAACAAAATATTATTAAAAAACAAAATGTAGTAACAGCAGAGCAGGAACGACTGGAGTTCTAATCTGGTCCCTGCCCTTGACAGCAGTACTTCCTTAAGTAAGTTTCTAAACCTCTCTGACTTCAGCACCTTCATCTATAAAAAAAAAAAGGAATGAAAATCTGTACCTCATATAACAGGAAAATTCAGTGAACTAAACTACGCTGCACGAGCCGCTAATGTTAGCCCCATTTGGAGAGATGAGAAAACTGAGGCACAGACATGTTGTGAAATCATCCGAGTTCACAGCCAGTAACCAGCAGAGCTCGGATTTGAACCCAATCAGTCTGGATGTCCAGTCTGTTCTCTTAGCCACTAGATTATGCTGCCCAGGGCATGCTTATAAAACTAAAGACTTGAGGAAAAACTGAAGGATGCCCTCAAATATGTCGAGGGAAACAGAATAAGATCTGTTCTCTAGAGGGTGTAGCAGAGGAACAAACGTTTTCTGACCATCAGAGCTATCCATCCTCAAAATGAGCTTACCCTGCGAGAAGCGGGTTCCCACTTTGGGGAAGTGGATGTGTGACAGGGAGAGTTATGACAAGGGCTGGGCTCTGGACGAGACCACCTCCAAGGATCCTTCTAACCCTGAGAGTGATTGTACAAGAGGTCTGGGCCCATCGTGCTGGGGAAGTGGATGTGTGACAGGGAGAGTTAAGATGGGGCCGGCTCCGGACTAGACCACCTTCAAGGATCCTTCTAACCCTGAGAGCGACTGTACAAGAGGGCTGGGCCCATCGTGCTGGGAGTCGGGGGTTAACAAAGATAAACACAGGTCTCCAAGTAGAGATGGACAATGACTGTCCTGGCTCCAGAGTCTCTCTGAAATCTATGGCTGTTGTTGTTGTTATGTGCCATTGAGTCAGACCCCCACTCAAAGCGACCCCACCCTGGTTTCCGAGGCAGTATCACTGAGGAAGTAGAATGCCCAACCTTCCTTCCGAGGAGTGGCTGGCAGATTTGAACTGCCAGCCTTCTGATTAGCAGTCAAGTGCCTTAGGCACTATGCTACCAGAGCTCCATCCTACTCAAAATCAGCAAACACATACTAAAACTTCATCTAGGAAGAAGCAGCATTTCTGTGCATTTTTCGCTAGGTTGAGGCCTGGCTCTGTGCTGCAAGACAAAGAAAGGAGGAAGTGATTTAAGAAATAGGTGCTATTTGGTTCCCGGGAGGAACCAAGAGATATGAAACAAGCATTGAAATGAAGCAATCAGGGAGGCCCGCTGTCTCCTGAGCTGTGCAGAGACAGTATACAGGACACAGGTTTGGCTTCTCCTCTCCCCCCCGACTCAGGTCTCCAGGTGCTCGAAGAAGAAAGGCATTTGTGCTTCCAAGATGGCTTCCACTGAACCCTGACACTGTGCTTGACAGCTCTCCCCCATCAGCCAGTGGACTTCAACAGCCAAGCCAGCGGACAGGCAGGATGCTCAGAATCCACCCCTGTCACAGAAGGATAACACTGCCTCTCATTTATGAAGCATCTACTACGTAACAGAAACCTATTAAATTTACACTGCAAGTTAGTTACTGTTTTACAGCTCAGGAAATCAAGGCTCAGAGAGGTTAACTGGCTTGACCAAGATGTTACTGGTCCAAAACACTCATAGCCAACTCACTCTGTGCTTCCTATATGCCAGGGGCTATTTTTAACAATTAAATCTCATTTCCTCCTCACAACAGTCCTAGGAGACAGGTTCTCCTACTAAAACCCACTGCCATCGAGTTGATTCCAACTCATAGCAACCCCACAGGGTTTCTAAGGCTGTAAACCTTTAGGGAAGCAGACTGCCTCTGTCTTTCTGCCGTAGAGTGTGGCTGGTGGGTTTGAACCGACTGCCTTAGCCACGGCACCACCATGGCTCCTCTGTTCTCCTACCCCCTCCCGCCCCCCTGCCATATCACAGATGAGGAGAACTGGGCCAGAAAACATTCACTAAGTTACTCACAAGGTCCCACGGCTACAAAGTCATCTATCCTAGCACTCTTTCCTCGGTGCCACACTAGTTCATGGGGGTAGATTAGTAAGCCCAGCTCTGCCTCTGTTCCACGAGGCACAGGGTCCCCTAGTAGGTCAGGGAGGACTGATGACTTCATCTATGACTGCTACCTCACGGCCTCCTGTATTGGGACAGACACACGTGTGCAAAACAAGGGGCCTGGAAGGCAAGGAAACAGCATCCAGATGGCCTGGTCGTGCAGCCGGAGGGGTCGCAGCTGAGCCAGGAGCTCGAGTTCATCCCCCAGGAGTGCCAACCTCCCAGCAGAGCCACCCTTCTCCCTGCCATGAAGTAGCACCTCCCACTGTGTCACCCCTCACCTCCCCACAGCTTTGCTTCCCTTTGCCAAAAGGTTCCATGTGGACCATCTCCTCTTTTCCTGAGAGAAAAAGGAAAGTTCTATCTGCCCAAGAAAAGTTCCAATCTGAATCTGGTTTAAACTCTGCCACTTCAAGCCATTTCTTCTTTTGCCAAGTGAATCCCAAAGTGAGAGGCCTCTCAGGCAAGGCCAGTCTCCCCCACTGCTCCCCAAACACTGAACCAAGTGCAGGGTGCTCTCCTAGAGCAGCTGCAGCAGTCACCCCAGGGAAGGATGGGTAATTTATCACCAGTACTGCCTAGAACCACCGGTGCATGGTGATATGAAACGCAGACTAAGTTCTAGTCGGCTTCATTATTGCTTATAAAGTCTCCACAGTGTGCATGTCGTCCGTTACGGCGGCAGACTGCTCCCACTGCCCTTGGCCTCCTAAGTAGGCCACTCCTGGGAGGTAGCTCCATGACTTCTGCCACCAGCACCTCACTCAGTAAACTGCCTGCTCCTCTGTCACGTCTTCAATAGTGTGCCACCAACTGCCTGGTGCTTACCAGACCAGGGAGGGGCGGGGGAAGACGAATGCACTTTCAAGAAATCAGAGTTCAAATACTCATCAGACTAAATCAAATGACTAGAGGATGATGAGTTGCATTTTCCTTTTAGAGATATATGCTTAACTTACATTTACTCATATCAAGTTGCAACTTTAATTGTTCCTACACGCACAGAAGTACCCACTATCTATAAATCTGCCCACTGTTCACGCCAGCCACACAACCAACCCCCAAAAAAGCCACATTTGGCAGCTGCCTGTACCCCAACCCATCCTGAGCAGAATGCCTGTGCCATTCCTCACTAGGGACTTTTCTTCCATATCCCCAGAGGAGGGCAGTGCACTAAATGTCTGTGGCAACCAGATTCCCTAATTTCTTCTCAAATGCCTCCTGCAAAAAGAGCCTTAACCCAGCCACCGAGGAGGACACCCCTTAGGGAAGAGCTAAAGGGAACAAGCCCCAAGCCACCCAGGCTGTGCCTCACCCTGGTCGAGGTCACCTTGTAATTGCAAACCGACATACAGAAGATTCTTGCTTACTTGAGCTGGAATTCTCCACCTGGAGTAATGTTCTCAGTACTTTGTGTATGTCCTTCATGCTGGTATCTTTCTGGCTATAGAGAAGCAGCCTCTTAGCATCTGAAAACAGGCGAGACACACTGCAGGAAAAGCAAAGCAAAAGCCTTGGTTAGGCCAGCTACATAGAAGTGACTGTCAACGAGCCGGGTACCAATGCCCAGCCTGGCTCCAAGGCCCTCCAAGAGCAGGCCCTGCCCACTTCCACCTCTTCTCACAGCCCAGGTTCACTGATTCTCTGTACTCCCAACCACCAGCCCACCATCTTTGATCATCATGCCCACACAACCAGATCTTACCACTTTTCCAGTCAGCCCATGTGCCCCTCTCCCAGGAAGCCCTCCCTGACTCAAATACATACACACACACGTGTGCACCCCTAACACCAACTTCTCCAGTAGGTTCAATGCCTATGGCCCATAATACTTCTGGGGATCCATGAAAACGTTTTCTTTTCAAATGAATTATTGCAAGAATGAATATATAACAATGAATTCAGTCTGGATCATAGTTGCAAAATGGAATTTTTAATGTTTCTGCATGGAGGAAGGGGCCCATGGAGGCTACAGAGCCTGGGGCCCTTACCTGCCCCAGTGAAACTGCACTGGGATTGTCTCAATACACCCCTGTAGTCCTCAGTTCATTCTAACCCAGGTCATGGCTCTCTGCATTTGAAATATTCAATATCTCAGCTGGCAAACATTTATTAAGTCTCTGTTTGTGTCTAGAGTTGAAACCAGGAGCCAGAAATATAAAAACAAAGGAAGCAGACTTTTGGAGCTCACACCCAGGAAAGACAGACATGTGCAGTCAGCAATTCCACTGCATACAACAGGGGCAGGGAAAGAGATTAAGAACAGGTGACTCGAGGGCAGAGGACAGAACTCTTGTCCTCTTACACTTGGCTGTAAGCTCCCTGAGGGCAGGAACTCTTCCTGGGCACATGTTTTTACACCCCCAGCTCCTACAGTTGGCCATTTCAGTGCATAATAAATGTTTGCTACTGAGAAGACAAGTTAACAAATGGAGTTGATGAGCCCTGTCTCCCCTCTCTACTTACCGTCCAGTTGTTGGAGGAACAGCCTCTAACTACGTGACTTTTGGCGCTATACTTTCGGCTCGTTACTCCTAAAATCAACAAAGAAGCTTCCACGGTTTTAAATCTTGGTGGCAATTCTTACTCCCCTCATCCTGCAGACTTTACCACACAAACGTCTGTACTTCACTCACATCCAACCATGTACAATTCTCCAGAGGACGAGAAGTGGAGTAAAAGTATGAACTGATAAGTTTAGAAAAGAAAACCCGATCTGGTACTTACATGGATTTGTTGAAGTTTCCAACAACCCCGGGAGCCTCACCAGGAGTCGGATAACGGAAACAAGGGTTGTTGGCATTACAGATAATCCCCTGAACCCAAGGAAGGGTTCCTGCAGAGGGCATGGCTTTGTTTGGAAAGTGGCCTGTTGAAATCAAGGAGAAGAAAACCACAGGGAGAAACATTACTTCAATGTTTTTAAATATTTTTGAGACTTGACAGCAGCCTTTATCTCTACTGGCTCCAGGCATACAATGTCCCATTGCCCACATCCCAAAGACCTGCCCTTCTGGACTAATCCTGACCCTGGACAGACACACTGGGCATTGGATAGCAGGCCTCTGTGACCACAGGCAAGGTTCTTCATCTACTTGGATGTCATCTATAGAGTGTGGTCCATGGCTCCCCCTTACAGCTGTGATGAAAGGAATACAGAAAAGTGTCTGATGGGCAGCAAGTGGTTAGTCATTAGTTCACCTCCTATCCCCCACCTCACCCTTGAGAGACACAGAAGGGCCTCGAGTATGATTTCATTCCATTTCTTAACTAAGCAGGAAACAATGGCAAATTAAAGTGGCCGAGAAAGAGCAGTCAGGGAGTTAGCAGTACCCCTGAGAGGAGAACCCACATTTCCACGATCCCAATCCAAGCCTCTTGTTTTAAATCTGTGGCCTCCTTTCTAATGCAGCTCTCCTCAATCCCCTTCTGTACTGTTCTCTGTTTGCCAAACGTTTGTTAGTTGCACGTCCTCTGCCAGCTCAAAAGCTCCTCAAGGACACCCAGTAAACACACTGACTTGAGGTGGGATGTGGTCTGTGAAGCTGCACTTGTTTTTGTTGCTTTGTCACTCATAGAAACAACGGGCCCCATCCCACAGGTCATCGCCTCACTCTGTTCTCCATGGAGGAGCTTTACAGACAGGCTGACGGGGCAGGAGCACTGGGCTTCAAAGGCACAGGCTGCTTTGTGACAGTCATCAGCGAATACACTTATCAGGATCAAGATGCATGTGCCCTTGTCAGGGCCCCTAACCTGAGGACTAAGGATTCCTTTGGACAGAAAGGCCATACTTTATCATATTTTGGGGGTTATCTGTGACCCCAAAAGAGTTAATGACCACTAAGAACCATGGCTCTAGGTGGTTAAGACTTATTTCTTGGGCTTCAGGATCAACCAGTTGGGATTCATATCCAGTGTCTGCAACTCCCTAAGTAGGGATTTTGGCCAAGGTGTCAAACTCTTCACCTTCCATTTCCTCATCTGTAAACTGGTAATAACAATACAATCTACTTCGCAGAACTGTAACCTGAGCTGTGATAGGCAAGCACGCAGGAGAGTGTCTGACTCAGAGTAAAGGCTCAGTGAACGGCCTACTATGCTCACAGAGTCATGTACATGGAGGCGCCTACCATGCTTACGGATTCATGCACATGGAGACCTGTGGTGCTGACTACCATGCTATCACTCAGCCTGGAACACTCCCTTCCCACCTCACAGCTACCACCTTCTCCAAAGCAGGAATCCTGTTTTCTCATCTTTCTGTTTTCATGCAAACATCCTGGCAGAGCCTCCCAAGAAGGTACACCACAGCCAAGACTTGCAGTATTTTGCATTTCAGTATTGGGGCCCCTCTATCTGCCTTTTCCTTCTATCCATAATCCAACCAGAGAAGCAACAGCCACAGCAAAGATGCAACAAGATCTGACTCACCACGGCCACCCTCTCCAGGGACTCTGTCCTATGGAACATTTACTTAGTTAATCTCCTTATCTCCCTGTTAATAGTTCAAGGAAAACCAAACAAGGCCCCTTGCCTGAATCAGCTGCCCCTCATCCAGAGGAGATTTACGTAACCCAAATACTTGAAGGACCAAGGGATTCTCTCCTTTAAACTCCAGGAGGTGCTGGCACCAATGACAGGGTTGTGTTGGTCAAAGGCAGCACAGGGCAATAAGAAGGGGAAGGTAATGAAAGCTTCCTCCTGGTAGGTGAAGCAAAGACCCTCTCCCATAGGTTGTGCCCCATCAAACAAGAGCAGAAAAAGGACTTGGCAGTAGGTCTTCAGGATGACAATGAAACAGCATAATGGACTCCCAGAGGCCAGGCAAGTCAGCAGGACCTTGGTGGCCCCAGGCTGAACTGGAAAAGCTTTATGGGGAAGAATTATACACCAGTCCTTTATTCCCAGAGACAGGACCCTCTACAAGTTCCACCTCAGCTCTCCACTTTCTCCACACTGCCCTCCCAGCAAGCTCCCTAGAAGGTAGCCAGAACGGAAAGTAAGGCTGCAAGAAGTGCACTGGTAAATGGAAACGTCTTATCTGTCTTCTATAGGTACAAAAATGTCACAACATTTGTGAGGCTATATGGTCTAGAGCAGAGGAATCTGGGTTCAAAACTCACCAACTTGCCCAAGGTGTCAATCCTAGCAAATAGCAGACCCAGGAGTTAACACCCCCATCTGCCTGATGGCCAAGTGCTATCTACTGCCATGGCACCATCTTGCCTGCTTACTACGTTGCAGAGAGGGAGAACAGCCTAGCAGCCAAGTGCAGCTGAGTCGGGCCTACTCCATGGATACTGTGGTGGGGCTCAAGGTGATACTTGAATAAAATCAATTCTGCCTTTACTCACCAATCAACAAAATCTCTTGGGGCTCCCAAAGAGGAAGCAAAATTACCTCACACGCCAATACATGAGTGAAGAGTTCATACTCTACTCTTTTCCTTTTTGGTGAAATAAAAAAAAAAAAAAAAAAATCACGTCTGATGGAATATTTTTAAGGTTATAAAATTAAAAAGAATAAAAAGTTGAATGTCTAATGTGTGTCAGCAAATTATTGTTTTTGTGTGCCATCAAGTCTATTGCAACTCACAGTGACCCTATAGGACAGAATACAACTGCCCCGCAGTGTTTCCTAGGCTGTGATCTTTGCAGGGGCAGGTCACCAGGTCTCTCTTCCTCGGAGTGGTTGGTGAGCTCACACCACCAACCCCTTGGTTTAACAGCTTAGTACTTAACCTTGTGCCATCAGGGGCCCTTAGCAGGTAAATGTGCTGGGAAGGAGCCCTGATGGGGTGACAGTTAAGTGCTTTGCTGCTAAACAAAAAGTCCAAAACTTGGTGGTTCAAACCCACCAGCCACTCATGTGAGAACATTCCTGGCAATCTGTTCCCAGGACAATTACCGCCTAGGAAACTCTATGGGGCAGTTCTCCTGTGTCTTACAGGGTCACTGTGAGTCAGAACTGACTGAATGGCACACAGCAACAACATGTGCTGTGAAAGAGATGCGACTAGAACAAGATCACAATTGAAAGGTAACCTTGGCCCCATCACTACCCTAGAAGAACAAGTTTCTGCAAGCCAGGGAGCTAGTGGGGTGTGAGAGAAGCTGATTAGTGGGAACAGGAGTGACTGAGGCAGTGAAACCAAAGTCCCAGCTAACCCCCAAAGTGAATGTTGATCCTTTAGACTAGAACAACCCATGCAGTGAGTCCAACAGGGAAAGAGACTGTCATTGTGGGGTGAGAACACTCACAACAAATGTATGAGATAGGTACACCCAATGCCCATTCATTGACATGGTTATGTTTCAAAGACCGTTAAGCAAAAACCAGTGTTATGTAAAAGTGGAGGATGATCACATCACATCAAAAAATGGAGAATGACTACATCATGACATTACTGCCAAATTACATCATCACATAACTGCCAAATTACCTTATGACATAATTGCCAGATTACATCATGGCGTAACTGCCAAACCACTGAGAATCATGGCCCAGCCAAGCTGACATAATCCTAACCATCACAGTCAGCATCACTCTTGCCTTGCACCTCAGCATTTGTTCCTGCCAGATGTACATCAGTTAATGCACAAAAGAGCTGGAAAGTAGATTTTTTACTATTGTCCTAAATTTGAAAGGTCAGGTACTGAGGTAGTTGGTAAGTAAGCAAGTAGGGGTATTACTATGCCCTTTTAGAGATGAGGAAACTGAGGTGCTAACTAGAGAACAGCCGTCATGGTCACTTGCCCAAAGGAGCACAGCAAGGGATGAAGGCCAGATTTAAACCCAGGTAATCCGACATGTAGAGCCTATGCTCTTGGCCACTGCACTGTATTTTCTAAGCCCTTTATAAAGGATATCAGAGCACATGACTGAGAGTCAGAGGACCCAAGCTTTATTTCATCTGTATTACTTACTAGATGTATGGCTTTGGGAAAGTAGCTGTACCTCCCTGAGCTCAATTTACTTATCAAGAGATTAAAGTAAATGATGATAATAATAATAAAATCTACTCCACAAGGTTGTTGTGAAAATCAAATGAAATAGTTTTAGTCAAACTGTAAAATTCTATACAAATGCTACTTAAAACTGTACATTCTGTGATCTGGAATTGTGTAATAAAGACATGTTGTTGTTGTTGTTGTTATATGCCGTCGAGTCAGACCCGACTCATAGCGACCCCTCCTTGGGTTTCCGAGGTGGTATCACTATGGAAATGATTACCCAACCTTCCTTCCGAGGAGTGGTTGGTGGGTTTGAACTGCCAGCCTTCTGGTTAGTGGTCAAGTGCTTTAGGCACTACACTACATACACATATGAAAATGACTAGTAGGGACCAGCTGATGGAGGTGTTAAAGCATGGTTTTAAGGGGTGCTTTTTAATCATCACTTTCTGAACTACCAGTGAAGTTATTTCATATTCATTATTTAAAATGCATGAAAACACATGTTCATTATTATTGTGTTACTAACCACCATTCCTTACAAATGAAACTAGTCTCCTAAGCTCACGCTTTTACCCAAATTTGGAAACCTACGAGGGGTCGCTATGAGTCAATCATAAACCTTTGTGGTGTTTCTTAAGGTTCGCTTCCCTGGACAAACCAAATTTAGCTCACGCGCATTGCCTGGCTTCTGCGTGCCAATGGTGAGGCTCATTCAGGACTGCCCAGGTACTCACATTCATGTTGCTCATACGGTGGGTAACTCAGCCGAACAGAGATGAGGATCAGGAAGATGAATAGAGGCCAGGCCACTTCCAGCAGCAGCTGACACTGGGCAGGAAATAAGACAAAGCACCGTGAATTTTAAAAATCACTGAAAGCCCAACACTATCAGGCTTTGGAGAATACACAGAAAAGTTAATTACAAAATTGATCAACTTCTCTAGCCTCTCCTACTACTCACTAACTTTCCATTTAAGCTACAACAACATGGAATTGTTATCAGTTCTCCCCCAACAACATTCTATTCCAGACTCCTGTGCCTTCCTGCACTAAGGGAAGATGCTTCACCCTGCTTCATCTAGTCACGTCTACTCATTCCTTAGGACTCAACCTGGCATAATTTCCTTTATTAAACCCCAGGCCGAGCTAGAAGCCCTTCTCCTGTCTTCCCGCAGTACCCTCCGCATACTCCTCCCACAGAATTTTCCCCAGGCTGCTGAAATCCTCTATCACTGGCTTGCACGATGCACTATGAGTACCTCAAGGGCAGGTTCTGGGTCCTAGTCATCTTTGCATTTTCCCAGCTTTAGCACAGGGCCAGTTAGGCAATGGCCACTTGCTGAAAAGAGAGGGCCGGGGCGATCTGCTATGCTAAACACACCCCACTTCTGCTCCTCCAAACACACGGTAGATTACTCCCCTTGGGGCCAGGAGGAGGACTCCAAAGGATAGTGAACATCTGGTAGCACAGTGCCTAAGGCACTTGACTGCTAACCAGGAGGCTGGCGGTTCAAACCCACCAGCCACTCCTCGGAAGGAAGGTTGGGCAATCCTACTTCCGTAGTGATACTGCCTCAGAAACTCGACAGCACATAACAACAACAACATACACAGTTCAGTATTGACTTGTGTGCACCTTACATTGGAAAGAGTTGGGAGTAGTGCAACGCCCTTTCTCGTCCTCTCCAATGGGTTAGAAGATCATGAAGCTTATAAGCAAGCTGATCCACTGGTTAAAACAATGAGGTTTTTTCTAAAGGAAAACTCTGCTCAACGAGTTACCAATGGATACGTGGGCAGAGGGTAAGAAGTCACTGAACTTAATTTCATCAAACCAGTTGTAACTAGTTGTTGTTGTTGTTGTTATGCGCTGTCAAGTTGGACATGACTCATAGCGACCCCTCCTTGGGTTTCTGAGGCAGTATCACTATGGAAATAGATTGCCCGACCTTCTCTCCAAGGAGTGGCTGGTGGGTTTGAACTGCCAGCCTTCTGGTTAGCAGTCAAGTGCCTTAGGCACTGTGCCACCAGAGCTCCTGGTGTAACTAGTTACAGTGCCTGAAATCACTCATCGCGTCCATTTCTTTCATTTCTAGATTCCAGGTTCTAATGAGAACAAACACCAAAGAGCCTGGGAGCATCATGGGGCCTTGAGGCTAACAGTGATTGTGACCATGCCCTCTGAGTCATAAAGCCAAGACTGATGTGTAATTCTCCTTTTCTTTAAAATAATGTAAGTTTTTTCTTAATCCTCAAATCCACATATTCTTATTGTAGAAAATTGGAGAATACGAAAATATCTATTAAAAAAAGTAGAAAAACGTAAATCTAAATCCCTCTCAATCCTGCCTCCTGGAGATAACGCCCCTCAGCTGAGCCAACAATGCTTCTCTCTTAATGTCTTTTTTTCTATGTACATATAATACCTTTTTCTGCAAAACAGAGATTGTACAGCACATATAACTTTGTATTCTGCTTTTTTCATTTAATATCATACAGGGGCATTTTCTGTGGCATAAAATATCCCCTTAAAATATGGCTTCAATGGCCACTTGATAGTCTACCCGATAAGCATGTCATAATGAATTTAACTCTTCCACTGCAGCTTGGCACTTCAGAGTGTTTTTTGGTGTTTTTGTTGTTTATTAATTTTTTTAAATTTTTGGCATTTTAAATAACCAGTTTTGAATTTCCAAAGATTTTTGTATGTAGTTCACATTAAGTTCTCTGTTAAAGAAATCATTTTGGAAGGAAATGCAACTAAATGGTAACAATGGATGCACTGGGATGGTAACATGCATGATGCTTTTATACTTTCCTGTGTCTTCTAAATCTTCCCTAATGAGTATTTATTACTTCTCTAATGGGACAAAAACATAAAAATAAAAAACCACTGCTAGCCTGTAACTCTGAAGAACGGTTTACTACAGATAGCACGCTGGCAAATGACAAATGAGTCCCTCTCTGGAAGAAAGCATGTTGGCAATGAGGTCCCCAAGATCAAAGATGGGGCTGGCCTTGTAAACAGTTCTGTAAACAGTCCCAGAGAACAACACACACTGAAATCTCCAAGTTGAAACACCAGCTGGGTTCCCCAGGTCCTCTGTGCCTCATCAGCACTTGGCACAGCAGGGGCCCTATTCACACAGGAGCTTCTCCCCCAGGGTCGCTTTCTTCTCACTGAGCCTGCCACATGATGAGGGCTTAAAAGATGTTTGGTGAGTAAAGGAATGAACTGAAGTTTATAAGAGAATGATGTGAAAACAGAAGTCAGCAGAGCCCCTAAAGAAAGCAAGTTGGCAGCATGTGTTCAAGAGACATGTTTATCCCCTTTGACCAAGCAGTATTTCTGGGAATTCATCCTATAGAACTAATTTAAAATATCAAAGGGCTACATTCGTGAGCTACTCATTCATTGAGAAATTACAGTTGCAAAATACCAGAAACAACTTAATCTCCTAGCAAAGTTGAAATAGCGAAATTGTACATCTATTCCATCTATTGGACAATACATTATGCACTCATTGTAACAATTTTTATGAAACACAGAAACCATTAACCATATAATACTAAGTATAAAAAGCAGAACACAAAATTATAAGCATTCCAAGTTACAGTTAAATAAAACCCGTAGCAACAGAGGAAGGGGAGTCAGACATAGGAGGAAGAAATGGAATTTGTAGCTAATTGCCTCCCTAAACAAGAGGCCTCCTTTACCATGAGACTAGAACTGAATGGTGCCCAGCTACCATTACTGAATGTTTTGATCAGAGATTCTGTGGAAGAATCCCGATCAAAAGGGGGAAAATGGAGAATAAATTTTCAAATTCTCATGGAATCTAAAATTTGTGGTGCCACAGAGGCCAGAAGAACCCCTGAAACTATTTCCCTGAGATAATCTTTAAACCTTAAACCAAATGTATTCCTGAATTTGTCTTAAAACCAAACAATAATTTAGTTCAATTAGGAAAGAATGGCTGCCTTGAGTATTGTGCTCTTTTAAGAACTATCTAGATGGGATCAAACTGACAATAGCAACTCAAGATTAGATACTGCAATTTAGGGGACAGTGAGTTGATGTTAATGGAGGAGATACACTTCAGAAAAGGAAAGTGAGAACAGCTGCACAACTTGAAGAAAGACATCCCTGTCACTGAACTAGGAGCTCTGGTAGCTTAGTGCCTAAGGCATTTGACTGCTAACTAGAAGGCTGGTGGTTCAAACTCCTTGGAAAGAAGGCTGGGCAAATCTACTTTCGTAGTAATACTGTCTCGGAAACCTAAGGAGGAGTTGTTATGAGTCGGGTCAGACTTAACGACAGTGAGTTTTTGGTTTGGGTCACTGAATTGTCCATGGAGACACCGACAGACTGGTGTATGTTCTGCTGTGTATATTCTCAACAACAACAAAAATTAGTTATTTGGGAAAAAAATCATCTACAAATATTGACAAAGACAGGAGTAAAATAAAAACCAGTAGGACTGTGAATCAATTCAGGAAAAAAAAAAAAAAAACTTAAAAACCACAGAATGAAGTAAGATACACGGCCATCAAATCTTGAGGCTCTGAAGCTTCCATTTATACTTCTAGGACAAACAGTAACTATCACTTACTTCAAACCCGGTGTGTACTAAGAATACTGTGTATGGATTACTTCATTTAATGTTCAGAACAACCCTGTGAGGTGAAAACTATTGGTATCTCCATTTATATGGGGCAAGGCTGGGGTTCAAGGAAGGGTAAGTCACAGCGCTAGTCAGCACCAGGGTTGAGATCAGAGGCCAGATCTGCTGACTCCGGAGACCATGTCCTTCCCCATTGTTCCAAATGAAATTCTACTTGTCACAGCAGGCAGGCCAGACAAGAAACGACTCCCACCAGGCAGTATTGTCTAAAAATGTTAACAGGTTCAGCAGAGGTTAAATGGACAGCCCATATTGAGCACCTAGCGTGTGCCACGTGTTTTTATACATCTCATCTCTAATAACTATTCTCACAGTAACTCAGTTTAGTCGTAACATCACCATTTTAGAAGTGAAGAAACTGAGCTCTAGAAAGGTCCTGAGAGACTGCCCGGTGAGGAAATGCAATGACATCCGAATCCACATCTACCTGACCCCTAAATTTTGAACCTGTCATGCTGATTCCAACAGTCATGGTTGGAGCACATTCCTCTCAGGATAGCCATTCTGGAAAGATCTAGTACTCCCAAGTCTGTGCAGGCACTGATCCAACTCAATGAACCAAGCCTTACATCCCTGGATATCTCTGCAGCCCCACATCCAGGACCCTGTAGGGCAGCAGATGCTCAGAATATGTTGGTTGATGCGAAAAAAATGAATGGGTTTTTCCTATGGCACTAAAAGCAAAGGGCACAAACAAAGTCTTAGATTCATTTTCAACAGCTGAAGCCAGTGTGTGTGAGCAAATCACAGAAAGGGGTAAGAGAGAGACTGACAGTACTACCAATAAGGACCAGGGTATGTAACTGCCTTACATACATCAAGGAGTTCGGGTGGCGTAGTGCCTAAGGCATTTGACTGCTAACCAGAAGGCTGGCATTCAAACCCACCAGTCACTCCTCGGAAGGAAGACTGGCCAATCCACTTCCATCGTGATACCACCTCGGAAACCCAACAAGGGGTTGCTACGAGTCATATCCGACTCGACGGCAGTGAGTTTTTTTTTTTTTTTTAAACATGTATTAGCTCATTTACTCTTCGAATATCCTCTGAGTGCTAGTATTACCCTTCATTTTACAGATGAGGAAACCAAGAGTCAGAGTTAATAAATTATTTCAAGATACTAGGCTGGTAAATGGTAGAGCC